CCCAGGCCCAGAGTTCAGGCCCCATGACCGGCAAAAAAAAAAAAAGAAATCATGTCAGTATCAAACGCAAAGCCCTGAGTTCAAACCTTAGTAATTAAAAAAGTAAAAGAAACAATGAGTGAAAAAATGACAATCAAAATGTTTGCTATATAAAAACTGGAACCAACAAAAGGAGAGATGAGTTCACCTTGTATAGCTCAAACCTCCCTCAAACTGGGAGCTTAAAAATGTGCAGATCAAGGCTGGGAAGGTGGCTCAGTGGTAGAGCGCTTGCCTTGCATGCATGAGGCCCTGGGTTCAATTCCTTAGCACCACATAAGCAAAAAGAAAAAAGCCAGAAGTAGCTCAAGTGGTAGAGGGCTAGCCTTGAGCTGAAGAGCTGATGGACAGCGCCCAGGCCCAGAGTTCAGGCCCCACCACGACCGGACCCCCCCCCAAAAAATTTGCAGATCAGTTTGTGGGTCAGCTTGAACCCTACGGCCTGGGTTCAAGTCTGCTTCCTGTTCTTTAGCCTAAAAAGGCAACAGCTACCGAGCCACTGAGTTACATGCAAGCTTTTGATGTGGTAAACAGTACAACAGGACGTGAGATTTGGTGTAATTTGTACCTCTGAAATTACCTGGTCATAAAATGCTACTAAAGCAGATGGCTTCCTTAGGCCATCTTAGGGAAAGAGAACAGACATTAACTTCCTCCTACTGTTGGTGATTTTACACCAGACTCAGGGTATGCAATAAACTTTTTAGTGGGGGAGGGGCAACAAAGGGTTCATTTGTGGGACTCAATAAAGCTTGTTGCTACCAACAGCTTTCCAAAGGTAATTAACAAGGAAAAAGAAAAAGGATGAGAATAGCAAACAAGAAAGGAAAAAATGAAGGGGTGTGGAGAAAGCCAGGAAGAGCTGCCTTGGTTGCTTTGGGCTGGTGTAGCAAGGCAGGAGGGTCCAAACTGGGCACTAAGTTTAGCCAAAGGCACATGGAGTTTTATTCCTATAGGCTTAGTAAAATGGGGTCACCAAGCAACGATTCTCATAGTGATTTGGTTCCCATATCAAGTGAACAGATAAGCTCAGGTTCTCTTAGACAAAGACACGAGACAGGTTGATGGTGCTGTGTGGTTGAGTTTGTTAATGAGAGATTTATACCATTTGCGTGATGTGTGTGAGATAAGATGCAAGCCAGTGAAAATGGCTATTACCACTAATTAACTCAAAAGTTGACCACCAGCATACACAGCTATTGTTTCCAAAGCTCTTTAGTGATGGGCCTTGTCTGGCTGGCTTCACAAAAGACAAATGCCATTATGAGAGACCAAATAACCTTATTTAAACAGACATCAGATAATAGAGACTCTCTAGGTATTAGCCTGACCTGCATTAGTTTGATTTGTTACTACCGTTCACCTTGTCCGGGGCATTCAAGGAGACAAAAGCTTGGAATTATCAGGAGTACAGACAAGCTCTGGATTAGCCTGTGGATTTAGAGGGAAAGAGAATTCTGTTTAAGATTTTCATTTCCATTTTTGTTCTGTTTGGCATTTGCTTGAATTAGTCTAGTTTTTCTTTGAGCATCATTATATTTTCTCCAAATTTATTAGCAATTGTAATTCCGCACTGCTTCTAATTATTTAGTAACAAGTGATTTTTAGAGGAAGTATTCTTGTAACTCTTGTTATTTTGTTTTTAAAATATTGGACATTATTAGTACTGAAAAAATATCTTTAGTTATTAATCTGGTATTATTTAATTTTTCTGATTTTTAGATGTTATGTATTTCAATTAAAATTATCTTTTTTTTTCCTTTAATGTTGCTACGAGTCAAACCCAGGGCCTGGTGCAAGCTAAGTAAGCACTCTACCAGTGAGTAACATCCCCAGCAATAAATACATCATTTCTATGATAAGTTACTTCAGGCATAAATATGTATTTTTAGTTCTATATTTTATTTATTTGTTTGTTTGTTGCCAGTCCTAGGCTTGAACTCAGGGCCTGGGTGTTGTCCCTGAGCCTCTTTGTACTCAAGGCTACCACTCTACTGCTTGAACCACAGCTCCACTACTGGCTTTTTATTGGAGATAAGAGTCTCAAGGGGATTTTTTTGCCTGGGCTGGCTTTGAACTGTGATCCTCAGATCTCAGTTTCCTGGGTAGTTAGGATTATAGGCATGAGCCACCCAGTGTGAACAACTTTTATAAAAAAGTAAACACATTATTAGTTGTTTACCCATGTCTGTGATATTTTATTTTTACTTAATTTCTGTTATGTTTTACAGAATCCTCTTGTCCCCAAAGATTTGGAGATTAGTTTTAATTTTAGATAAGTTCCAAACAAATCATAATTTCCCTTTGAAAATTCCAAATTGAAATCAGGCATTGATGGCTCACATCTGAAATCTTAGCTATTCAGGAAGCTGAGATCTGAGGATTGGAGTTCGAAGCCAGCCTGGGCAGAAAGTCTGTAAGCCTCATCTCCAACTAACCACCAAAAAGCTGGAAGTGGAGCTGTGGCTCAAGTATAGAGCACCAGCTTTGAGTGAAAAAACTCAGGGACAGTACTCAAGGCCCTGAGTTCAAGCCCCAATACATGCACGCATGCACACACACACACACACACACACACACACACACATCTCAATGTACAGACTGTAAATTGTGTTTATAATGACAAAACTAACAGTAGAGAAACAATATAGTATACACACATATGTACACCCAACACAGATCTTTTAAAGTGAAACACAAGACCTATAAAAAACTTTTTAATAATGATTGTGTCTGAGGGATAAGGTTTGAGGCAGCTTATACTTTACTTCTCTAGTGTTTAATTGTTATAGTATATATGACTTTGGGGATTAAAATAAGAGCTTACTATCACTCCCAGTTCCCTTCAAACTATATATTTCCAGTAGTTCCAGTAACCATCAGCCTCCAATATCACAATTTCATAGGGATTTAATGGACAGTGAAGTGCCAGGTGGATATATTCTGACTAATATAATTCATAAAGAGTCCTCCAAAGCAGCAGTTGTTTTGGTTTGGTTTTGTGCTGGTCCTGGGGCTGAAACTCAGGGCTTTGGCACTGTCTTAGCTTTTCTGTTCAAGGCTGGTAGTGCTCTACCACTGGATCCCCAACTCTACTTGTGGCTTTTTTTGGTACTTAATTGGAGATAAGCATTTCATAGACTTTTCTGCACAGGCTGGCTTTGAACCATGATATCAGCCTCCTGAGTAGCTAGAATCATGGGCATGAACAATGGGTGCCTGGCTAGAAGTAGCCCTTCATACTGTGTAAAGCAGCCCAGTCTTCCTGGGGAGATACTTAACAGCTCCCATCTTCCTGTTTGCCCTGCTTTTTAACTCCTGTCTTCTACCTGAGTAATAGTGGAACAGAATAAACCCAGTCATTGTTGGGACACAGAGCTTTCTACCTTAAATAAATACCTTGTAAATGATTTTAATAACCTCTAAATTCTGAGTCAGGCTGATTTTCCTCATAAATACAGGTCAAACTCCCTCCTGTTAAAGAGAAAAGGGGAAACAATTTCAGAGATTTGATAATTCAACAAGAATTTTCACTGTGGTCATCCCTGGAAGAAAGGAAAGAAAGAGGCCTAGGAAAGAAAATAAAGATAAAGCAAGGGAAAATTCTGTTTGAAGAGAGTAAGCTGAAATATGGCCTCCATTGGACAGTGTCTTCAAGCTAACATTAAAAAAAAAAATCAACTGACAAAACCCTCTACCTAATGAGGTTTTTCATTAACTGGGAACAAACATCCAAATCTCCATTAGGAGATACTGTCACACAGCTTCTTCTCTTTCCAGCTTTATCTGAATGGTATAATGAGAAAACAAAAAATGAAATGAAAACATAGTTTTGTCCCTTAGAATGTGATTTTGGTGGCACATTATGTGCATGTGTAGAATTATCACAATGAACACCACTTGTACAATGAAAATGTTAGGATAGTGAAAACTTCTTTTTTAGAAAAAAAGATCTGTATTGCCAATTTAATAAACAAAAACTGCCCTGATTATTTTCACTGATTATATCAGAACACATATAAAAGGAATGTAAGGTATCTTCTTAGTCAACATAGTATGAAAACAAAATGAACAGGTCAATAGAAATTGTTATACTGGAGATAGGCATAAAGCCAGATGAACAATGTCACTTAAAGGAGAGAAAGTAGAGCACAACATTAAATGGACTAGAAACTTTTAAAAAATGTGCATTTATTTGCAGCTTAATTCTTCTGTAGAGTGTAACACAATGATATGAATATGAGAGCTGGTGCCTTTATATCTCTGCTTTGGCACAATGACCACTTGGGAAAAGAAAAAAAAAACAACCTACAAAAGAGATTTGCTTTGATATATGGTAAGAAATTCTTACTAATACCATAAATCAAGACAAATTGAAGACAAATAAATCATACTCTACCATACAGTTAAGCAAATCATATTTCAAAAACATGCTTGAAGATATCCAACTAAAATAGACTGAATCTTTATTGCTTGGATTACTTTACTTGAAATACATTGTAAATGGGATTTACTGATTTTTAGCTTACTAATTTATTAGATTAACTTTACTCACTTAAAAATAGCCGATTTTTCTGAATATATGTTTATTAAAATATATAAGAAAAGTCTTTATTAGAACTGAAAAGTACCCAATATAATATAATCAAAATCATTTATATTTTCAGAAAATGACAATATTCAAATTAAATGCAGGAAGTGTCACATTACTAACAGTTGATATTTCCATGATTCTTCAGGTTCTACAACTGGAAGATAATTACACAGGTTTGGTTTTTTATCTATTCCAGGAAATTTGAGTTGAAAATTTTTTTTGCCATTAGAAACTGTGATTCTCTATGGGATCTTTTCAGCTTTGCACGCCGATTTTGGAACCAAATCTAAAATTAAGGAAAAATAAAATAGGTCTCAGAAATGGTATTATTGTCCATGACATTTCAATCATCACAAATAGCAACCATTATGAGCCTTACCTGGATTCTGTCTTCCTCTAAATTCAATTTTTGAGCTAAGTCTTCTCTTATATCAATGCCAGGATAGCAGTTTACTCTAAAGACATTTTCCAATACCTCTACCTAGAATAAAGAAATACTTTTTAAAAAGTGTTAATATTTTTCATGCCACCCCCAAATAGGCTTTAATTTGTAAAACAAAAATTGTACTTAAACTGTGGGCAATTAATCCTAATACTTTTTGTTAAAAAAAGTGATTAGTGAGAAACCATTAAAATATGATAGCCCTTTGTTTTATTAATAAGGTTTCTAACCTGGGATTCCTGTCAATAGCTTTTTGCACACCACAGTGTCAGTTAAAGCCTTTCTATTATCATTATTGGATGAAAAAACTTCCCACCTGGTTTTGGGTAAAAGCAGTTCTTGGTCTTCTGCCTCTATACCAACTCAATTCTTTTTTCAATGATAGCCTTTCTGAGGTTGAAAAGTAATTTTCATATTTCAAGGCTCTTTCTTCTGGCATTGGGTGATCCACAATAGAAGGAAAGGAGATCCCATTGGGAAGACTTGGGACATGTAAAGAGAGGCTAGCATCTTTCTCTAAAATCAGAAAAAAAGTAAACAACAATAACAACAACAACAACAACAAAACCCCAACCCTTCTTATGTGGCCAATCTAGTGTTCCAGAGTGCTGTAAGAAGTTATTTTAATAACTTGTTTTCAATATCCCTAGAGAAATGCTGTGGGTTTCACAAAGAATTACCCCCTCAACAACCTAAAAACCAAAAGCTAAACAAAATTAAAATCCTGCCTTGGTGACAGAGAATATGTTAGACTCTAGTATTTACTTGTTGGGGGAAATAGATTTTGAAAGTCTTGGATGTTAAACATACATGGAAAGAGATCTAAAGTAAATAAATGCAGGTTCTCAGTATTTCCTGCAAGGGTACTTACAGCATTGCATCTGAGGCAGATTCTAGATGCAACCCAAGTTTCTGAATGAAACCCCAGGTTCTCTCTAGCTTTATATTATTGTAAAGGACTACCAAAAACCCCAAAGAAATTTAAGAAGAGTTTAAAACTAAAGCTATAGCATACCTGAGGAACCCCAGGTGTCTGCCCAAGGTCTGTGGGGTTTCATTGATGGGACACAATCCTTCTTCTGATCCAGTCCTAAAATGCTCTCGATGGAAAATGAACAGGGAGACGTCTTGCTTTCTCCAAGCTGAGCACCTTCCTGAAGGCTGGGAGACATTCTCTGGTGGGCTGTACACAGCAACAGTTCTACTCTTTCTGGTGGGTTGGCCACACGTGTGTGTACAGGGCTGTCTGGGATTTTACCTTATAGCTCTGCTGACAAGGGGGCTGGATTTAGAGCGTCACTAATTAAAATCCTGTTTTAGAAAGTTTTAGCATGTCAATGAACACTTGCCCAACCAGGAGCTTAACGACTTAATTGTTTGTTTGTTTGCAAGTAATTAGCAACTAATGGTTACACCAGGGGGGCCACCTACTGGGACAAAAAGTGTTATCTCTCCTAAACAGAACACAGACTTAACTTTCTCCTAAGAAGTGAAACAGTCCTCTTTTATTTAAAATCATTAATGTATAAAATCGTACATTTTTCTAAAATATTAAAGTTTATACTTTCATGAACTCTAGTTACTTAAACATACAAGCAAGATAGGAGAGCAGTCAGGCAATAAATAATCTAAGTGAATTTTCTTCCAAGGAAATTGGGAAAAATAATCTCTTAATGCTATTACAGTATTTTGATGAAAATGCCTGCTTTTCATATGCATATGTAATAGTGAATGTTGTCAATGAAAACACAATAATATTTGGAGTGCAGTATGCTGGAAAAGGATGGAGATGTTATTAACACTGAGTGTAATTGTCTTCCAAGTGCCAGGATTAATTCATAGGAATAGTTGCACCAAGTATTTTAAATAATTAATGGGCTAATTCCTTTTCTTCATGTCTTCTCTTTAAATGAAAGAGATACAAGTCTATGTGAAGATTCACATGTAACTACCTCCAAGCAATTTAAATGCACTGTTCAAACTAAAGAGAATAGCATCTGTCCTTAACAAAGATATTTCAAAAGGAACAGTGTTTACTATAGTGTGTGTGTGTGTGTGTATTGCTAAGGTCAGCAAATACACTTGTTGCTAGGCCAGCATTCTATTACAGAGCTACAAACCTAGTAGTTAAGAAAAAGTTTCTCCTTCTTGACTCTTTTTTCCTTCCTCCCTCCTGTTTTCTCACTTCTCCTCTTCTTCCTCCCTTCCCCCTTTCTGCTGGAGGTTGAACATCAGAGCCTGTAGCATGCTTACTTACATGCTCTACCAGTGAACAACAAACCAGCCCTGCTGAACTGCTGAATTGGGGTTTGGATTTCATGAAGATAATAAAGCTTGTAAAAAAATAAGAACAGAGTATTTCATAATTCTAAGAAAATAGAGATGATTTTTTTTGGGGGGGTCCGGTTGTGGGGCCTGAACTCTGGGCCTGGGTGCTGTCCCTCAGCTCTTCAGCTCAAGGCTAGCGCTCTACCACTTGAGCCACAGCACCACTTCCGGCTTTTTTTCTTTTTGCTTATGTGGTGCTGAGGAATCGAACCCAGGGCCTCATGCATGCAAGGCAAGCACTCTCACACTGAGCCACCTTCCCAGCCCCTAGAGATGATTTTGAAGTGGCTATTCTTCTAAAAATGTATACCAGCTGCACTTCTTAAATGTTGCCTCCCTTCTTTTAGTAACTTTTTTCCCCTTTGAGAAAACCTAAATTGGCTCAATACTTCTCTCTCAGCTTCCAGAGTAGCTGGCATTATTGGCATGTACCATCATGTTCAGCTCTACTATCTTCTTGAAGGTAGGTTCAGCTTCCTCCATTTTCTAAATGACTGCGAGACTTTGTTTTGGGAAGAAGAAAAGTACTCTCATTTATAGAAGATATAGCATCCAGAGGATGGAGCTTAAGTTCATCATACTCTATGATGACAGACTGAAGTATTAAGCTAAACAAAGGGTCTCACATACAGATCCTAAAGATGGGTTCATAAGGATACATTCAAAAATCATTCTGTGAATGACAGCCACCAAACATTCATACCTCATGAGGATTTTGTATGATCTTGAAAAGTAGATTGTACAAAGGTGGGGTGACCTTAATCTGGAAACATTTGGAGGAAAATAATTTAAGACTTCAAGAGTTTGTTCTCTCTGTTAAGACATTCATTTATTCATTCCACAACTGATTAAAAATACAGTTAAGTATGGGGTAAGGGCAGAACAGCACTGGTGGCCTACACCTGTAGTCCTAGCTACTCAGTTGGCTAAGGTCTGAGGATTGCAGTTTGAAGCCAGACCAGGTAAGAAAGTTCATGAAACTCTTATCTCCAATTATCTTTTTTTTTTTTTTGATCCGGTCGTGGGGCCTGAACTCTGGGCCTGGGCGCTGTCCCTCAGCTCTTCAGCTCAAGGCTAGGACTCTACCACTTAAGCCACAGCGCCACTTCCAGCTTTTTTCTTTTTGCTTATGTAGTGCTGAGGAATCGAACCCAGGGCCTCAGACATACAAGGCAAGCTCTCTACCACTGAGCCACCTTCCCAGCCCTTATCTCCAATTATCTACCAAAAAAGTCTCAAGTAGCTATATAGCTCAAACGGTAGAGTGCTCAGGCGCAGTGCCCAGGCCCTGAGTTTAAGCCCCAGGACTAGCACAAAAACAAAACAAAATAAAACAAAAACCTGAATTGTTCCTTGCCTTTTTGAAGCTCACAATGGGGGTGTGTGTGTGTGAGGGTTATCAAACAGAAAACAAATAATCATAAGTAAAGGTAACCAAGGACAAGCATGGGTCCACAAGGACTCATTCAGGTAGATGGACAATAGCAGGAGAAGTAGGTTGATGCCTGAGTGGACCTCGTTGGAACCCTCATCCCACAGGTGAGTGTCTCAGACGTTCGTGGCACAAGGAATCTGCAGCACAGCCTAGAACAATTCCAGCCCCCCATGGTTTCTTCAGTAAATAAACAAGGACATCCCAGTATTTTGGTTCAGTTTGCTTGGATTTATACAACACCATTTTATATAAATGAATATAAAAATTAAAGGCAGGTACTGACTTTCTGTGAAAAGGAAATGTCTTTTTTTTTTGTCAATCATGGGGCTTGAACTCTGGGCCAAGGCACTGCCCTCAGCTCTTCAGCTCAAGACTAGCGCTCTACCACTTGAGCCACAGTGTCACTTCCAGTTTTCTGAGTGGTTTAATTGGAGATAAGAGTCTCACAGCCTTTCCCACCTAGGCTGGCTTTGAACTGTGATCCTCAGATCTCAGCCTCCTGAGTAGCTAGGATTACAGGCATGAGCCACTGGTGCCTGGCAGGAAATGTTTTCTTATATAAACACAGGGATTTGTGTATGTGTGTGTGGTGGTGGTGGTGGTGATGGTCCTGTGGTTTGAACTCAGTGCCTGGGAGCTGTCTCTGAACATTTTTGCTCAAAGCTAGCACTCTACCATTTGAGCCAGAGCTTCATTTCTGGATTTTTTTTTTGGGGGGGAGGGTAGTAGTCGATTGGAGATAAGAGTTTCATGGGCTTTCCTGCCCAGACTGGCTGGCTTCAAACTGTGATCCTCAGATCTCAGCCACCAGGTAGCTAGGATTATTGGTGTGAGCCACCCACGCTCTTCATAAAGAAATTTTGTAGGACATAATATGTGGCAGACACTATTATAGGTACTTGAGATGAGTGATGAACAAAAATATGGTAATTTCTGTGAGTGATACACACTGGAAGAAGAAAACAAGGCCACAGCGATGTCCTATAAAGGAGAAGGATGTCTTTAAGTACATTGAGGGGATCAATGGTCCAGAAAGGCTTCTCCACATCAGCCGAAGCTGAGAATGGGAGTGAGCCAGCGTGATTGAAGAGCCTGAGTAAAAGGATTGCAGTCAAAGAGCAGAGGTCTTAGTGAAAAAAAACTTGGACTAGTTTAAGAAAAAGTAAGTAAGAGTAGAGTTAGCAGTATTAGTACATGGAGATCCAGGAGGTGCTGAATAATGGCTGGGCTTTTATAAAGCCTACAGTAAGAGCTGAATGCTTGTGGTAAAATTCAAAGCTAGCCAGGGCAAATGAATTTGAATATATTTCCAATTAACCAGCAAAAAGCCTGAAGTGGAGGTGTGGCTCAAAGTGTTAGGCTAAGCAAGCATGTGAGGCTCTGAGTTCAAGCCTCAGTGTGTGTGTGTGTGTGTGTTTGTGTGTGTATACATACTGTGTGCATACAACTTGTATGTGTGCATACATATTTACAAGTTGTAGTAAGATATTCCCTGTGCCAAAGGAAACTAAGGTGGATCTTAGGCTGGGACTGACACAGTAAGATTTATGTTTTTGAAACCTGGGGTTGGGAAGTATAACTCAGAGGTACAGTGCTTGCTTAGCTTCAACTCCCAGTACTGAAAAAAGTCCCAGTTCAGTGGTAAAAGAAAATGAGGACACGGATGGAGATGAGGGAAAAGAGGTATAAAGAATGGATCTGGCCATGCATGGTGGTGCACACCTGTAATTTTAGCACTGGAAACAGAGGCAGTAAGGTATAAAACCAAACCAAGCTGAGTGCTGGTGGCTCATGCCTGTAAGACTAGCTTTTTAGGAGGTTGAGATCTCAGGATCATAGGAATTTTAAGCTAGAGCAGGAAGAAAAGTCTGTGAGAGTCTTATCTCCAGTTAACCAGCAGAAAGCCAGAAGTGGTAGGTGGCCTAAGTGGTAGAGTACCAGCCTTGAGTAGAAAAGCCAAGTGAGAGCATGAAGCCCTGTACCAGAACAAACAAATATAAAGAATGGCTGTTTTGGGCTTAGGCAAAAACAGTGCCACTTGCTGGGGTGTACAGCAGTGGACTAGGGGAAAAAAACTGGGAAGAAACAGAGTTTTTTTGTTTGTTTGTTGCCGGTCATTGGGCCTGAACTCTGGGTCTGGGCGCTGTCCCTCAGCTCTTCAGCTCAAGGCTAGTGCTCTACCACTGGAGCCACAGCGCCACTTCCGGCTTTTTCTGTTTATGTGGTGCTGAGGAATCGAACCCAGGGCCTCATGCTTGCAAAGCATGCAGTCTACCGCTGAGCTACCTTCCCAGCCCCAAGAAACAGAGTTTTAAGTTGGGTAGCAAGTACTATTTTGTATGAGCTTGGAGCTGAAGCTCTACTCTTGTCATCTCTGGCAAAAAAGCCATAAGAGCCATAGGTTTGCATAAGATCATCCAGATAACAGAACCAGCTACATCAAGGGTTTGAGGTTGAAACTAGGGCAGGACTAACA